CGAAGATGGCGAACTGATTCGCCGCCCACCGTTAAGATCCCTTAGGTAAAAGTACCGTTATGATCGTGTGAATGGAGTATTAGTGTGTGGCTGTGGCTCCGGCTTGGCATGCTGCCGATGCTGATCGCGTGACTGTTTTCTTGACAGGCACTGGGCGTGCGAAGAAGCCAGATTCGCCTAAGACGTCTGCGCATGTGCAACACCGACAGCAGCGCCACCGCAGCGGTGCTACTCCGGAGAGGGTGAGAACGTCAGGGCGTCTTCTTTCTGATGACCGGCCTCCAGCATGAGGTCAATGCACTCCATCGTGCTTTGGCTACGAGGGCACGCTTCAAACCCCCAGGTCGCCGGAGTGCTGTCAAGGGTACAAACGCTTTGCAGCAGCTGTGCATGGGCACCGCCATCACCAACCTTCAGTTTTTGTTTCCTCTTATTTCGACCACTTCGCTCCATCATGACCACAGCAGGATAGGTCATCGACATTTTAGATTCGATTGCGTCCTTCTCCTCAGCATCGGCCCTTGTGGAGGCTCGTCAAAGCCCGCTTTAGTGGCTTGGAATTCCGGTAATACGAGAGAAGGTCAGCAGCGGCGGCTTTAATCTGGTGCGTTTGCAAAGCGTCTATGCCGTTCTGCCGTTCTTATCCTGCCAGTGACAGTACATATAAGATTTCCCGGACCCCGTTTCAACAGGGCTCAGGCTTGAGCGGTACAATAATCAAGTTAATTTGTTTTTGGAGCAGTTTTGTAATCGTTTGAAACATTTATTAGGGAAGAAACATATCACTAATAAATGTTTGAAACATTTATTAGTGATATGATTATATTTGGAAGTACTAAAACTACTTGTAATTGTTAGTATTTTGCACTCCCCTTCCTAATGGCGCCCTTTATTTATGCAGGTTTCCTACCCAGAAAACCTTCAACCAAGTCATCGACAGGAGGATGATTTACCGAAATTGATGGATTAACAAGATAGGTAGTTTATAGTTCGGTGATTCTCATCCAATAATGGCAAAAAGGAAACGTCCGTTTTCAACCCGGCTGAAAATCTTGTTGTTTCGAAAGTCGGAAGTAATCAGAAAAGTAACGATTGTTTTTTGTAAGTAGCGGCCACTTACCTTCCTTCTGAAGTAATGGATTAATTTTAATGTAAAACGTATTCACCAACAGCAATTTTATTCGTAATTAATTACTTCTTTTTTTTCCTGGGCTTCACCAAAGCCACATGGCGAGGATTCAATGTCTGCGTCACATAGTTCATTCTGGAGCCAATCTGAGGTGACAGCAAGTCGATATTCTTCAGAAAGTCGACTCTCGCAAATCGTCATTTTCTCGGAGAGGGCGGTTCCAACTTTGACCTACTCAACGTGTGAGGATATCCTTGTCAATATAAATACTTCAGAGGTTCCGTTCACGATGAAGCAACTTGTTACGCGGCATGTGGGAGCATTAGGTTTGTTTCTGTAGTCAGAAAGCTTGTAGAAAAAGCGCAGCTCACAGATGCTGTTGCTTGACGTCATAAAACGGTGCGTTTGAACTGGCTGGCATAACAGAAGGCGGATCGTCTGACATAAATCACGCGTTGCAACAGACTATAGTCACATTCAGAACATAATCGGTCGTGACGATTTATTACGAGCGAATAGAAGTCTTATGGCCGCTTTATTGCGTATGGTCTTTTCTATACAAAGCCCCTATTGACGAAATTTCGACATGTTGCACGGGGTCAAAGCGATGTTATTTGCTCGTTACTGTCTTGTGCTAAAATTAATTCTCGTCATCCCGTTGCATTTTTTTGTTTCTACTTTCATCGCTGTATTGTATGTTTCCCATTATTATTCTAAATTCTAAAAACTAATACACGTCACTAACGCTTCAAACAATCAACGCCTTTATTTTAGTCGCATATTTCTCTCGTATGCCTTTTTTTTATTTTGCATTTATTTACCTTTTCAAAGTATTTACCTCATAACAATGTTTCTTTTTTTCTTAACTGATGTATTTACCTATTTTAACATAACAACGGTTTCCATAAGTAGCTTGAAAATTTTGGGGACCCTCACCTCAATAAACCATTTTTTTTTTAATTTTACTAGCAGTCATTTCAGCCAGAATAAAACACTTTGGCTTTGACTATATCTCGACGTTATATCCAGACGCTGTAACTTGAATCGATTGATAATAACGCAAACTGAATGAAAGCCGCCTCCGGTGTACCGCAGTTGTGCACGCACTGTCCGAGGCGCGTTTCTTTCTTGTATGTGGAGAGCGAGTCGTCGGCCTCTTCCGCAGGAGTTGCGATGACGTCAGCAGAATGCCGAGCTCTGGTTAGTTCTGATTGAAAGGATAGCGGGTAGACCTCAATGCTAGATGGCTTGAGGTCTACCCACTATTTTTCTTTTTTCAATCAGCCAATCAGAGCTTGTCATTGTGGCATCATTGCAAACCCTCTGCAAGAAGCAGACAAACTTGCGCTTCGCATGTGACGTTTGCTAGATGCTAGATGCCTTGAGGTCTACCCACTATTTTTCTTTTTTCAATCAGCCAATCAGAGCTTGTCATTGTGACATCATTGCAAACCCTCTGCAAGAAGCAGACAAACTTGCGCTTCGCATGTGACGTTTCTGACACATTGGCCACACAAATACTGTCTGCGGCCATTGTTCGAAGCATATGAAGCAAAACCACGCTTAATTCGAACATACATGGCGCGCGTGTCTGCCATGTTTGCAGAGAACGCTGTGTCTTTACTGTAGGATGTCATAGCAGTATGAGCAGTGGGACTCGTCCTCGCTGTAGCAAGCTGCGAGTCATTATATTCCATTGCCAGTCTAAACTGCCAAAGCACGAAGCGGAAAATAAAAGAAGACGCCAACATTTCAAGGTTTACGCTGGAGGAAATTTTTAACGGTCTTAACAATAGACTTACCTCTACTTACTGGAGACTTGGTAAACTCAAGAGTAGATGCCACAATGATGCCACTTTAGAGGGACACTCCTTTTTTTTTTTTTCTTCTAAAAACAGGGGGACAGAGAGAGAGAGAGAGAGGGGTAAAGAAAAAGTTCCGGGAACATTGTTTCAATGGAATTATACCGACCCTCGGCCCGTCCCATGACTACGAGTATTTTTTTTTGCGTCTTTTGTTTTCTTCGTTCTCTTTTTCTACAAAAGGCTTTACCTACCAGGAAAAAAAGGGCGACACCAAACATTTGGGAAGGTACCAGAGACGCAAAAAGAAAACAAAAAAAAACATTAAAAAACATTAATAAGGTGGATGATTACCAACGGACCTACGAGAAGGCTGTAGCAATTACAAAAATTAAAAAAAAAAAAAAACATCATGAGAGTGTGACTTTAATAAAGTCGCGCCACGAGTGGTTAGGACATCACGGCCAGGCATTTCGCGCGAGACAATGAGACCACTTGCGGGAGCGCGCACTTGTTTGGAGAGAGCGCGACGATCTTCGCTCCAAGTTAGCCTCGTAAATAAACTTGTTTTTCCTTTTCTTAAAATAATAAGGTACGTAGAAGCGCAGGAGAAATCGTCGCTCTCAAGGTGATTCTCTCTTCAAATGCTACTGCGCAGCCGTAGAAAAGGAGGCAAAAAAATATACACATTGTGTTTATCTGTGCGATAAAGGTGTGCGTATTTTCGCTCCAGGTGGGTGAACTAACCCCCGTATCGGAATGCAATACAGATCAACTGGATTTTCATATATTATACGTAATAAACCGCGTTGAGCTCGTCAACTTCAAAAGCTACCAATAATTGGCTAATTGGCTGTCTTTGCTCCCGAAGGATGTTTGTTTGTTTATTTTCTTGTTTGTATTTTAAGCTAGCAAACGCTTCTGCATATCAGAACAACAAAACGGGTCGAGTCACAAACAGCTTAAAAGACGCAGGGTCTGGTGATTTTGGAGCACCTTATTATTGGTCCGTAACCAATGAGAGTACGGCATTAGACGATAACAACGACAAAGAACCAATCACGAGGCTAGAAACGTAGACATAGTAAGCCACACCAATCGTTTTTCAAGCTGTCCGTGACTACGGCATACATGGGTTGCAATGCACAACGTCTTGGCTGCAGGAAGAGAGAAATATCCGAACTAAGTCCGACAGGAAACAACGGCTGCGTAGAAAAGACAGCGACCACGTACATAACAATGCAGGATTTATTGCATTAAGGTACAACACGAACATCACATCCAGATAGCGTCCAGTTTTATGCCGACTCAATGAAAACAGCGACCGTATTATGTACAACAGGAGCATTATAACCGTGCCAAGGCACGTTTTTCTTTGCTAAAAACAGCTTACAAACAGAATATCTCATCACGTTCCCAAGGAAGGTTACACGCTCGTCTCCTTCAAAAGACGGAAGTCTCGCAGATATACAAAAAGTCACACGACAGAGATATTACTAAGCCTCAATAAACTGCAAAGCGAAAATAACTTACAAGGCAATATTTACTGCACACTTCTCAAAGCAGGAAGACGTCGTCGCATTCCAGACACTGAACATCTTTCTTCTCGGAGTTACATATTTGGCTCTTTGTACAAAATTCACAAGCGCCGTGGCCGTCAAAGTCTGCCTGTTTCTGTTCCTGGCTGTGACAACGTTTACAAGCAAAAACTCTCAAATTAACCGAAGCCATGATCCGATCTTCGGTTTACGTCTATACTAGCACATTGACCTCCCTTGCTCACGACGTGCAACAGCTTTAGTCGGTGACAGGTTGAGATCCCACATCGGTCTCCAGACCAGGCTCGTTGCTTTCCGCCATGCTTCGACTGCGCGTGCAACTAACTGTTATCAAAGTCAGGAAACTCGCGCTTGAGCCATAGCATCTAATGAGTGCCTAACCTGTCACCGACTGTAGCAGTTTTACAACGATGCAAGAGTCTAAGAAACGCATGCTCTTATCAAACGTTCCAGAAACCTGTTGTCAACCCTTGCTTGTTTTTTTTTTTTTTTTTTAATGAACTGACTATGGCTTCGTCATTGTACAGTATACATAAGGCAACGAGAACACCATGGGGGCTTCAGGAGAGTGCTAGGTACACACTGCAGACCTTGACGACGCCTAAGGCTCGTTCTCCTCTTTTAGCCGCGCTGTAAGCGGTCAACGACTTTGACTAAACTCGTTGTCGTTGGCTGGCGCCTTCACACCTTTTGCCTAAATCACTTCCTGCCTCTTCACCACAAAACGTCCAACAATTAACCTCCTTCCCTCCCTCCAGAAAGGATCTACGACTTCTTCTTGTCCATTCCCTTAACAGCACCGTTCATAGACGCCCCATCTTGGGCGGAGGACATCTTGGTCGTCTTATCCGCGCCTGCATTTCGCCTCTTGATGTACGACTGCACATAGAAGTTGACGAAGAGCCCCAGGATGAGAACCACTTGAGGAATGGCAACGCAGATGAGGACACGGGGGTAACCGCAGTCCACAAAAATGGGTATCAACGCGTGAGCAATGATGACGATGAACTGTCCGATCTGAACTCTGGTCAAGTACCTCTTCCACCAGAGGTACTTCTGTACCGATGGTCCTAGGCAGGCCAAGAAGTAGTAGGTGTACATTATGATGTGGACGAAGGAGTTGAGGCAGACTCCGAACACGACTTGCCCGTCACCTCCGAACTGCAGGAACATCCACCCGCTGAACACGACAATGGTGTGGTGGACGACGTGCAGGACGGTGATGTGCGTGAACTTCTTCTTCATAATAAAGAAAATTGTATCCAGAAAGTCAGCTACGCGCACCCAGAGATACCAGTAGAGCGCGTTCAGAAGACTGATGGCGTGCGGGTCCGTGCTGTACGTAAGACCCTGGCAGAAGAGGCTGTAACCCGCCGCGTAGAACGAGTGGTAGAAGATCTGCGAAAGAAAGTACACGTTGGCCAGGACCTGGAAGAGGTTGTAGACCATGATGACTCCCTTGAGCTCATAGGGATCCTTGTCTTTCATGTAGCGTGGGCCGAGAGACTTGGCGACGTAGAGGTAAAAGGTCAAGAGCACAAACATGTACATCGGGTTATCCATGGTCTCCCAGTTCTTGACCCGAGGGTCCCGCAGTGACAGTATGGTGGTAAGCACGTCCGGTGTAGTTCCTCTTAGGGTCTCCATTACTGCGCTGTGTCGGGTCGTATGGCAGGAGACCTGTAGACACGGACTCCAGGAGTGTTAAAGACAAGGCGGCAGGGTGGTGGCCACTGTTATACCGCTCGGTGACCGTGTGCGGACGAAAGCCACGTGCGTCCTCAGCGAGAACATACAGCTGTCGACGTAAGCGTGAGTACAGCTACGTCAATGTCAGCGAATTAGAGAGAAGGAATTTGAAAAGGAAAAGAGCTAAACAAAAGTCTGCGTCTGAAACAAAGGCACGGGAAAGGGTTGTGTAAGTAGGCGGTAGGATAAGCTTTTCCTCCGCGGGCTTTTTCAGAGCGACGGAAAATAAATGCGACCTTGAGGTGGGCTCTTTCCTCTCTCCCAACTCCTGACTTTTTTGCTGTGTTTCGTGAAAGTAACACGAAGGACCTAGAGCAGTTTAGTCGGAAAGACACAGTGTCGTCCAATTTGAAGATTTCGCAAAGCGGAACGTTGACATCTCATCTGATGTCGTTGATTCTCGCTGAACTATAGCTGGGCGGGTAGAGACGTCACACTTCTGCCGCAAGATTAAAAAAGAACCAACAAATGTAGAGTGCAAAAGCGAGATTTGACAGGGGTCGTAAAAGGACTGTCGTGAAAACTTTCAACCTATCAAATGTTGGCAGATGTCAAATCGTTGTTAAGCGTGCTTGAGAAACACCGATAGTGAACCGAGAATACCGCTGTTCCACAACGCGAAAGGGCTGTCTTACCGAAACTTGGATAAACCTTCAAAGTTTACGGATGCACTTATAAAATCATTAGCCTCGGCTGGAGGTAGCAAATTTTCGTGTGGTAATTTATTATCTTGGTGCATATTTCCTCAACCCACTTTCTCTCTCCGAGTTTTTCCTTCTTCCCAAAGCCCATTACAACTGCCTCCACTCGATCTGGCCCTCTTCCTCTTTCTCAGGGGTGACACCCTCACCGTCGGCTTTAGCGTCGTAATATGTTTGTGCTTGTCATACTATTAGATAAGAAACTACCTAGGCGCGCCCATCATACTAACCCTGCCAGCAGGATATAACATATAACTAATCGAAACCAAACATACCCGTTTCTAAGCAGGTGGTCCAAGCTGGAAAATATACTAGCCCCCCCCCCCTTTTTTTTTTCTTCTTATAGTGCTCGCACAATGCTGACTTTTTCCAACTAGTTTGTATATATACCTAAGTGATTGGCATTAATCTAATCCCATTTATTTTACGCAACCATCTCATATTTTGTTATAGTACAGCTTGGGAAAGCCGTAACACCACTTTGACTGTAATAAATTCTTTTGTTTCAGTGAAGACTATTTTCACACATGAATACTTGAAACTGCATTAGGTACTCGAAGAAAGAAATCTTGGCCTGTTCAGTCATTGTTCAACACACAATCACTAGAGATGTCTATATCTTGGTTTCCTGAGAGCTTGCAGGCCCAAAAGAACGGGCGATGAAACAATTTACTTCATCAACAAAAATATAGCTGCAGGTGTGAATGTTTCTGCATTGTATAGACCCCTTTTATGGCGAACGCCACCAGGCGGTGCTCCGGTCTCGACGTCTCAGAGAACTTTCGGTTCATACTAAAAAAAAAAAAAACGAATAATACCTACATTAACACCGTTACTTGAATCGTCGATGCAACGTTTAACCGAAAATTCTCCAGGTGTACGCCAAAAGAACGAAGAAGCGTGAGGTCTGTTACAATTATTTGCATTTTTTGTAAACCAACTTGCCTCTTCCAAGACGTTAAATTGTACAGCCGAAGGCCCTTGTGAAATCGCCAACTGTGCTATTCGTGCAGCATTTATGCTTTCTAGCACCGGTTGCATAAGCAAGCTCTACAAGCTTGCAAAGACGGAGAGACCGGAAGTCGCTTGCGACGCAAGTGGCAGTTCATGTTTGTAAACAGGAAATATAGAAGCCATGTAATTGTTGCGATGCACTAAATACCCTAGAATTCGCACTGCAGTTGAAAGTTGTTTTTGAAAGGGCACACAGGAATTCTTGGAAAGGAGAAGGTGAATTGGTAGCGGATAGTAAGACAGTAAAAAATACTAATGCTTATTTGTGTTAGCAGGCCGCAGCTTGTAAAACATTGAGCTAAAGCTCGTTCTGCAGAACCCAGGGATCCTGGGTTCAATCCCCACATTTGCCCGTTTTGATCTGGAGGAGCATCGCACTGGAGTGCGGGTGTATTACAGCCGCATGATGCGCGTAAAACACTAGAGACTAGCAGTCGTACAACACTGGCAATTAAAAAAAAATAGCTTTAGCCAGTGTTACCACATTACGGCAGACCGGCCCCACATTGTTAGAACACCTAGCACCTAGCTTGATCTTTAATAGCCTTGAATTAGCGCCGTCTCTTGACTGCGTGGGAACAGTGTGCGTACGTCGCCACGAAGAGACCAGTAACTGATTAAAACTGCATTGGTATTGTAGTTTGCTAGCAAATGACGAAAACCCAATCGAATGAACTAGAATAAACTAAATTGCTAAGACATTCTATCTTCGCTGATACCTTGACAACCTAATTCGTGCTTTGGCAACACGGGTAAGGTTTCTTTCTAGTCACACTCTGAGCCACCACAGTCGTCGGTTTTGTACCTAAGTCGTCAGTTTCGTACCAGCCTTAAATCACGTGATTCGCATCTAATGACGCAGTCATCATCAAAATGCTCAATATAGCAACGTCCGTCACGGCAGCCTTCGAGCTGCGCTTCGAGTGACAGGCAGGTGTCAGTCAAGTGGGCTTTAAAGGAAGCGAGGGTATTTTGTAGCTTTTTCCGGCTTGTGTTTCTCTACGCAATACCAATTTGGGAACAGCTGTTAAAGCCTAGGTTTGTCAATCATCGTGATCGTCATTGATGCTTCAACTATCAACACGTTTCGGTATAACTTAGCGAATCCTCGAAGACGGTATCCCGCTATAATATCTTTACTTTTAAGTTGTTTTTGTTTTTTTTGTTTTTTCACTCGCTCCAACAGCAACATGCCTTCTTGGTGTTGCATCAGAAGACAGACGAAACAAACCTACACAAACATATCAAAGAGTTTAACATTATACACACCATATATACCGATCATGGTAGTTTTTATTGTTTTTTAACAGAAAAAAATTAAAATATTCTAGTATAGTTCTGACATTACTCAGTTGTTTTTTTCAAATAGCTTAAACGAATAAACATGTCGATTGAAAGTGACGAAACACCATTAAAAGAAGGTTTCCATCCGCGTGACAAACGAAAACTAAGAACGCCCCCCCCCCCCCACTCCCACTCCCCCCCCCCCCCCCCCCCCCCCAAAAAAAAAGCGTCATTGAACTTAAAGAGCAAGAAGACATATAAAACCTTATGGTGCATAATAAGCTAGAGCACGACGCTTTTCCATTTAGAAGTTGGTCAAAACAAAATTCTCGATCTCTTTTTTTTAGGGGGGAAGGGGGAGGGGGAGGGGGGGGGGAGTGTGGCCCAGCGATTAGTGTGTACATACCCATTTTACTCATCAGTCAGTTACAATTATGGAAAATAATTATTTTCGAGGTCTGGGCCATACATTAAACGTTATTTGTCCAGTATTAGTGCTTCGCGGGGTAAAGTTCCCTGTTCCTATATTTCGTTTTACTAGTATGTCCGAAACAGTCGAAGGCACGAACACATACAACCACGAGCACAGATGCAAAAAGTGCAAGTCAGAGAGGCTTCTCTTTTCACGATTGGTTTCACGCGGGTAGAACGCGTCAGAAATATTTTTATGTTTATGTATACATAAACATAAAAGTATTTGTGTCACTTGCATGTTTCGGCAGCCTTGAAGTTTGTACGCCTTAACGGGTGACCTTTTTCTCAGCTGCAGATGAGAAATCTAGCCAGCGCAGTAGAACCGCTAGCCTGTTAACGCGCACAACGCAGTACTGATTAAGCGAGCGCGTGCCGGTACGAAGCTCATCCAGATCAAAACGGGGGGGGGGGATCAAACCAAGGAGGTTCTGCAGCGCTTTCGCTCCACGCTCCGAGCTGAGACGCGTTAGCCTACTCGGCCCACCGATCCCCCTTACAGAAACATGGCGAAAACCATGACGTTGCTCTTTTGAAACTGTTCGATTAGTCCCAACTACTCATGGCGTTAACACGTGCGCGTACTTGAGATGAAACGAAGAATAGCTAAATATAGTACTGTATGCACCGCAAGGTTAATTCCCCGTGAGCTAAAGGATCCTTGTTCCAAACCCTACCAAACGAAATTCCCCCCCCCCCCCCCCCCCCCCAAAAAGAAAAAAGAAAAGAAAACCCGCTTTGAAGTTTTTACAAGTCGACATTATATGCAGGGCCGACTTGTGAAAACGGTAAAATGTTTAGGGAAACGCCATGTTCCTCCCGCAATATGCGCTACCTCACGGTTAATTGTTGGTTGTCGTCACATGTAAAGTCACGCGACCGCGTTACGTGACCCGAGGTAACGTGAAGCGGTTACTTGGCTGATGCCAGGTGAGTGACCACCGTCGCGCTCACAACGTCACGTGACCATCTTCCGCCAAAATTGGTGGGTGCAGGAAATACCTTGACGCACGAAATTTAGCGTTTGCGTAATGCAGGTATGTAGCGCACTTCCCTAACGTACTTACGTACTTACTAACGTATACTTAAGTATAACGTACGTTATACATTAGAACGACACAACGTCCTCTAGAACGTCGTGTATTCGTGTTAGTCCTGTGTGTCGCGTCGTTTTCCTCTGTGTCCTGAACATTTTGTACTTTTAAACCCAAAACGTTTCTATATAGAACCATACCTTTAAGAAACGAATAAAAGGGTTAACTACTCAAAATCAATTGAGAACCTAATTATTCCGAACGTTATTACTCTTTTCTAAATAGGTGGTTTGGCAGATGCTCACTATGACATCAACCTTCTTCCTACTCAATACGTACTTTTCGCAGGAGCGATTTGACCAGCGTTCCGTGAAACATACTGGATC